TTCTCTTTCTATTTTCTTGCTTTTGGATTCATAGTGTATTATGAGTTCATTTCCCTGTGTTTTAGCTGATTAGATATACATCTTTTTTATTATCCTTTTAGTATTTACTCTAGAGATTTGAACATTAATTCTTTACTCATTAGAATATAATATAAATTTGCACTTGTAACATTTCCCAGCCAATGCAAAGATTTTACAGCCATTTAGCTCCATTTATTGCATTTCTATCTATTGTGCTCTTGAAGTCAAGTATTTTTATTTTACATGTATTTTGAACCCCACAAGAAATTACTTTTAAAAACACTCAATATTAATTTAGTTTTACTCACATATTTACTCTTCTGGTGCTTTCATTTCTGCATTACTTTGCTTCCACTGGGGATCATTTGCTTGCTACCTGCAGCATTCTCTTTAGTATTACTTTCAGGGCACACTGCTGTGGTGAATTCTCTTAGTTTTCATCTGAAAAATCTTACATTTTTTTTGCCTCCATCTTTAAGGGATATTTTAACTATGGTATAGAATTCTACGTGGCAGTTATCTTCTATAGTGCTCGTTTCATTGTCTTTTAGCTTCCATTATTTCTGTTTAAAAGTCAATTGTAAATCTTACGTTTGTTGCTTTGAAATTTTGCTTTGAAAAATTGTCTTTTTCTTATCTGGCTATTTTAAAGATTTCCTCTTTGGTTTTCAGCAGTGGTTTTTTTTGTTTGTTTTTTTTTATAACCTACCTAGATGTGATTTTCTTTATGTTTATACTGTGTGAGGTTCAAAGACCTCGAATTTGCAGCTTGATGTCTGTCATTAGTTTTAGAAAGTTTTAAGTCAGTATCTCTTCAAATATTTCTGGGTTCCTACCTCTCCTTTTCTTCTGAGTCTCCATTTACATGAACTTTATAACTTTTTACAATGTCTCATATTCTTCTTACACTCTTTTTTGTGTTTTCTTATCTTTTATCCTTGCATGTTTAAGTATAGATATTTTTCTACTGACCCATCTTTCATTTTACTATTCCTTTCTTCTGTTGTGTCTGATAGGTTGTTACCCCTTCTAGTACATTTCTAATTTCACAAATTTTATTATTTAGTTCTAGTATTCCATTTGATTTTTCTTCCATATAGATTCAAATTCCTCATCTTTTCATCTCTTAGACATAGTAATCATGGTTATCTTAAAGTCTGTAGTTATAATTAGAAATAGGGTTGGTCTGATGCAAGCTACTGAATTGTAGCAGTAAACAGAAGTCTCACCCCCTTGTTTAAAGAATAGCAGGGAATCTAGATTCTCATATGAAATCTCTTGGATTTTACATGTTGGTCACTGATTTAAATATTCTGAAAACACTCTAGAGCGGCCAATCAAAGCATTTCTTCAGGCTGGATGCATCCAGTTTGTGACTTCTCACCTACATAAAATGAATGTTGGGAGTGGATTTTCTCATCGTTTCCCGACAGCCCCTCTTACCTGCCTAGAAAAGAGTCTCTAGGCTACGGAGAGAAAGACAGAGACAGAGAGAAGGAGGGAGATGGAGGGGGAGGGATAGGGGTATGGATGTTAGTGTGTCTTAGATGGAGGGACTTCACAGGGTCCCGGGAAGCCGACAAAAACTGCGGATGGTTTTGCAGGGTGGGGGCAGCAGCAAGACACCGTGGAAGCAACAGTTCCAGAAAGGTCTAAGCGTACGTCTTATGCCAAATATAGTCTGAGAGGTCCTTCAGGGGGCTGGGGGCAAAGCTGAGAAAGCCCTCGGCCGTGGAGCCAGGCAGATGTCTTAGCAAAGACTTAGATGAACCCCTGACCTCCCCACTGTGGCCCTTGTTCCGTCTTCTTCAGCCACTGTGGCCCCCATGCCCCTTAAATATACTAACCAGGCAGCCGCGTCAGGGTTCGGTCCTCTCCTGGGAATCTGCTTCCTCCAGATATCCACGTGGCTCTTTCTCTCACTCCATTCAGGTGTTCGGAAACCTCGTGTCCTTAGCGACTACTCAGACAGGCCTAACCATCCTCCCTAAAATAGCTCACACCTGCACACCACCCTTTGGCTTTCTATCCGCATTTCCCTGCCCTGTTTTTCTCGAGTAATTATTATTACAGATGATTTTCATTATTTGTGGGTTCTGAATTTGCGAATTCGCCTACTCACTACAATTTATTTGTAACTTCAAAATCAATACCCACGGTGCTTTTATAGGCATTTGCAGACACGTGCAAATGGTGAGAAATCTGAGTCACCCAAGAGGGAGCGTGTTCCCAGCTCAGGTAGAATAAGGCAACGCCCTGCCTTCTAGTGTTCCTAAAGGCAGGAAGGCTGTGATGTGTGTTACAGGGAAAACAGGCGTTGGGTAAGCGTTGTTCAGGCACGAGTTACGGTGCTGTGGCCGTGAGTTCAATTTTAATGAATCAATAGTATATATTTAAAAGGTGCCTTTCAACAAAACTACACATAAAACAAGGTTATGTATTGATCAGCTGACAAATATGTGATGACCAAAAGCTTGCAGGAACCTAACCCTGTATTTCCCCTAGGTATTTGCGAATTCTTAGCAACTTTACAGAACATAACTGCCGCAAGTGATGAGAACCGACTGTACCTGTTGTTACGTGTTACAGATTTGTTTATTGTGTTTCTCTTCCACTAGAAGATAAGCTCAAGGAAGGCAAAGGCTTTGTCTAACCTGTTCACTGCTATGGTTAGAGGAATGGCTGGCACACAGTTGGCATTCGGTGAACGTTTGTGAAATGACTGAATGACAGCTCGTTAAGCCAGCACAATATTTTTAATATCAGGACCGAGAAGGGGTTTAGAAAAGAGATTGGAAAAAGGCAATTGAGAAAAATATGTGTTTGTTTAGGAAGAATTGAGTCCTGCGGATATCTGGGGGAAGAGCCAGGGAGCAGCACATGCAAAAGTCCTGAGGCAGGAGCCCCTTTGCTCGCCTGACCTGTTCAGGGACAGCAGGGAGGCAGCGGGGCTGGGCGGGCAGTGGAAGGAGAGGTGTAGACGTCAGAACAGTCACCAGAGGGGGTTTGTTTGCTGCTCTATCCCCAGTGCTGAGAAGTGTGCCCGGAGCCCAGCAGTGTCCAGGAAAAATGTGTTGAATGTTCACATTGACACTCAATGCTCTTGGACCATCCCTGGCAGTGTAGACTCACCCCTGGGGAAAGCTGGGGGAGGCAGGCGGTAGAGACAACCCTGAAAAGACACATCATTTCCTCTTATCCCAATGAAATGGGGCGCTGGAAGTAGAAATTAAGTAGGACAGTCAGCTTGTCACAAAACAAAAGGGGATGGTGACTTCACATGCCCATGCGGGCTGCAGTTCATGCACTGATCAGGGCTGAGGCCGGAGTTCATGGTGACCTCACAATGCCCAGGTGGTGCCGGCCCCCTGCCACTGTCCCAGTCCGCCATGCTGACCACCCTGGGGCTGCTGCTCAGCTTTGCTGTCCCAGTGCTGGGGGTCTACCTTTCCATTAGCTGTCCCGGAGGCAAGCAATGCCAACGGGCCCTGCTCTCAGGGAATGACATCCTGCTGCACTGCAACTCCTCAGGGGCACGCTGGCATTACTTCCTCGCACACAGCTGGGACCAGCCGCCTTCCAAGGTCTCCGGTTTTTCCAATATAGAAATAACGCCCAAGGGCAGCCTCATCATTAGAGAGCCGTTGCCCTCCCAGACGGGGGTCTACTGCTGCCTGAACGAGAATGGCACCCAAGTGGTGCAGTACGAGATTGACTTCCAGGACGTCGCCACGCTGCACATAACACACACGGGCCTGGGGCAACAGCCTCTGCAGAATGAGACCCTATACCCGGACGGCAAGGAGCTCATCTTCACCCGCTGGGAGCCCTGGCAGGACTGTAACCGCTGCGGGGGGCCGGGCGAGCGTAAACGCCTGGGGTACTGCTACGTCGGGGAGCCCCTGGAGGAGCCCACGCCCTGCTGGCTCTATCTGAAAGAGGTGGAGGTGTGGTCCAGCCGCATGCGGCCTGAGCTGCAGGTGGAGGCCTGCGACACCCCGTGCTTTGACGGTGAACCACTGGGGGTGGGTTACATCACCTTCGACGACTTCCAGCTCAAGGAGGAGTCAGAGTCTGTGTGGCTCTCCTGCCCCTTAGCATCCATCTACAGGTGACGGGAGCCTTCCCGATGAATCTGCGCGCAGAGGGAGGGGTTCCCGGGGGCTTGCCCGGCAGGCTCAGCGGTCGTCAGGACAGTTTCAGGCCCTGCCCTCAGGAAGCCCACACTCCAAGGGGAGCCAGCCCAGCGTGCTGCGAGCTGGGGTGGGAGAAGCCCAGGCAGCGTGATGAGACCGCGACGGGGAAAGCCAAGATGCTGGGGAGCTCTGAGAGGTCCCCGACTTATTGGGAGGAGAGGACGGTGCCCCAGGGTGCCCACCAGGGCCTGCCTCCGGAGCTCACACTCGTGTTCTGTGTTCCTTCCTGGAGCTCCTGGGAAACCTCCCCTCCTCCTCCTCTTCCCCAATCCACCTCCCGGCCCCCGAGCAATAAGAAATAAGTATTATAATAAGTACAACCACTCCCAGGTGTGAGGATGGAGAAGATGTGCCGTCTTCTCCCTCCCCAGCCTCCCTGCCCCAGGAGGTCCATTGTACAGATGGGGAAACAGCAGATCAGAGGGGTGCAGCCCTTGTCCCGGGCATCCCTGGCGGGAGGTGGCAGCGTAGACCCTAAATTCCCACATACTTGGCCACAGGGTCCCCTTGCCCTCCCCGATGTGTGACTTTGGCCTCGTGGCTTCTGTCTGGGCCTCGGTTTCCTCACTTTTAGAATGGGGGTGAATTCGTTTCATAAGGCTACTATAACAAAGTACCACCAACTTTGGCTTAAAACAACAGAAATGTGTTTTCTCGCCATTGAGAGGCTGGGAGTCTGAAGCCAAGATGTCAGTAGGGCTACATTCCCTCGGAGGCGCTGGGTAGAATCCTTGCCTTTTCCTGGCTGCGGGCGGCAGCCAGCGATCCTTGGTTTCCCTCAGCTCGTAGCTGCCTCAGCCCAGCGTCTCCCTCCGACACCACCTGGCATTCTTCCTGCTGTCTGTGTCTCTGCGTCTCTTCCCCTTCTCTGGAGAGGACACCGGTCACATTGAATTTAGGGCCCACCCTACTCCAACATGACCTCATCTTAATTAATTGCATCTGCAATGACCCAGTTTCCAAAGAAGGTTACACTCCGAGGTTCTGGGAAGCACATGAATTTCAGGGGGGCGTTCTCCAGCTCAGCACGGGGGTCTTGCTGGCCCCAGCCTCATGGGGTCAGTGTGATGTTTAAGGAGGCTGATGACCGCAAAGTGCTTGTCACAGTGTCTGACACGGTTCCGCGGTCCACACGGGTCGTAGCTGTTGCTGTTGTGTGTTGCTCTTCCTGTGTCGAATATCCTTGCTGTTCTTCGGCCACGCGGGGCGTGCTGTGCGCCTGGCCCATTGATTCACCAAACACATCCTCACCGCTCATTTACACGCCAGGCACTGTTCTGGGGACCCGGGAAACGGTGAAGAACGAGACGGACAAACATCTCTGCCCTTGTGGAGCAGGAAATCTGTAGTATTTTAAGATGTGCAAAATATACAGCATTTGAGGGGGTGGCAATTTCAGGGAGGGCTACCGGGGGTGGGGATGGGGGAATAGAGTTGTAAGTGGGGGGCCAGGGAAGGTTCCTTTCAGAAGGGGCCCTTGGCCAGGACTGGGGGGGGGGCACTCGGGCCGAGGAAGAGCCTTCCAGGCAGAGGGAACAGCCGGGGCTGAGGCTGCATCCGCGGGTCGGAGGAACATCTGGGAGACCAGCATGGCTGGGGAGGGCGAGTGAGAGGTGGCAAGGGGGTGATGGGGACAGAGAGGAAGGGCCACACATTGTTACGGGGTGTGCTCCCCTCTTCCTGCAGATGACCCTTTGGGGTCGATAGCATCCTCACGCTCGCATGTTCAGAAGAGCATAGGGAGGCCCAAAGAGCTGGAGGCGTTTGCCCGGGTCGCCCAGCCAGTGAGGGGCCGGCTCTGGGAGCCCCTCGTGCTGTCCCCACCTCCCTTCCGACATCGGTCCCCCGTTCTCCCCGGGGCCCTGCAGCTGATCTTGTCCTCCCCGCAGGCCGGTCATCTGGGAAGCTGACGAGACGCCCCTGACGTGGCAGCGGCAGCTCTCGGGCCGGGCCGACGACACCTTCCTGGACCCCTCCACCGGCGGCAGGCAGCTGCAGGTTTTCCAGCCGGCCGTTTACAGGTGCTTCGTGCAGCAGGAGCTCATGGCCCAGTTCAACCCCAGGCCCGGCCCCGAGGTACTGGAGGCCCAGGAGGAAGAGAGCGAGGCGCAGCCGCGGGAGGCCGGGGGAGGCCGGCGGAGGAGGGCACACCCTGTCCTCACGGGCCTGAAGCTGGCACTGCTCGCGGGCGCCGTGCTGGCCCTGGCCGGGCTGCTGCTCAGGTGCCGCCGCCCTTCCCGGGGCTCGAGAAGAGACTGGGTGGTGCTGGTGAAATAAAGCGGCCCCCAGTGCCCAGGGGACCCGCCTCCCGTTCCTTCGTCGCCCCAGCTCCCCGCGCACGGCTCCCGCTCCCCAGCCCGCCCCACGCACCCCGGTGCTCTGAGTGTGTGATCCGAAACAGGCCTGTGGCAACAGCCAAGGGTGACTGCGCCCGTCCCTGTTTCAGGTCCTGCTCTGTCCATGCATGAGTGGTCCCCTTCCACAGATGAGGAGACTGAGGCAAGACTAGCTATTTAGTGACTGGAGGGTGGGGCTCCGTTCAAACCGGGGTTGCCTGGCTCAAGGCCGGTGCTGCTCAGAGGGCCAGAGGGAGCGAGGCCATGGTTTGGGGGGGTCCTCCCAGTGTGGTAAACCGTGGCCTCCTCACTCACCCCATTCTCCCAAGGACACAATGGGGGTGTGAGCTGGCAGCGCCCAGGCCCCCAGATCTGCACTGGGCCCTGCTGCCTGCCCCCTGCCCCGCTGTGCCTGGGCCTGCGGGCCCCCCGAGTCCCCAGTCAGAGGGGCTGCCCGAGACGTCCAGACCTAGGGCAGCCAGACACACGCCAGCCTTCCCGGCCCTCCTCGCGGCGCAGCGAGCCCCCTCGGACCTGGAAAGGGGAGACGGGCCGCTCCGCTGGAACAAGGCGCCGGGCCTGGCGGAGCTGCCCGTGGAAATCGCCCGGCCTGGCTGTTCCCAGAACTGTATGCGCCGTTTAGCCAAGTGCAAGAGCGAGGAATCAAATATTCATGCCCTTTAAAATTCATCGCTCTAATAGTCCACTGGGAAGCAATGACAGGACAGATGTGAAACTCTCCCGGAACAGACCTTGTGCCCGAGGACAGGGCAGAGCTCACCCCTCGTGTCCCAGACACTGTCGCCAAAACACGCGAGGCTTCGCACGGTGCCAGAGCCTCAAGGATGCCTGCAGGGTGAGGGGGCGTGCCCTGAGAACCGACGGGGGCGCCCCGGGAAGCACAGGCAGAGAAAGGCAGTAATAAGAGCAAATATTCTGGGCTTCCTGGTGGGGCCGAAACTCAAGCCCTTCGTAAGCATCACGGCCGCACAGCCGTCCGCGAGGCCGGTGTTGCTGTTGACCTTGTTTTGCAGCTGAGAGCATCGAGGCGCAGAGGCCTGAGTGACCTGCCTGAGGTCGCTCGGCCATCTTGGGAAGGGGCTGGCGATGGGAGGGTGAACCGAGACCTGTGGCCCCCCAGCCTGGCTCCCAGGAAAACCCCGCGGTGTCCCGCGCCCACGGCAGCCCCCGCTGTGCGGTAGCTGGAGGAGCAGCAGCGAGAGCCAGGCACGGTCCAGGCCACTCCGCACGGCACAGCCCAGGCTGTCTGCTCCCCACTGGGGCAGGCGGTCCCTCAGGTGACCCCAGTGCCCTCCACCTCCTGGTGCCCGTGCCTTTGTGTGATCCCCTCCTCTTCAGCGTGGACCCGACCAGTGACCTTGCTTCTAACCTACAGCACAGGGTGGAAGTGTTGGGCCGTCACCCCCAGAGTGGGTTACATCATCTAAGACGCGGTCTCAGCAGCTGTGCTGAAGGAACCCCCATGGCAAGGAGCTGCCAGTGGCCTCTGGGACCTCCCAGTGACCTCCAGTTGACAGCCAGCAGAAAGCCAGCGCCCTCAGTCACACAGCCAGAGGGGAATGAACTCGGTCAGTGACCTGAATGAGCTCGGAAGCAGCTGCGTCTTCAGCTGAGCCCCCAGGAGCATCCTGGTGGCCACCTGGCCGCAGCCTTCTGAGACGCCGAGCGGAGGGCCCGCTGACACACACAGGCTGAGATGTAACTGCGTGCAGTTTGAAGCCGCTACATTTGTGGCAATTTGTTACGCAGCAACAGACAAGTCGTGTACCTCCCTTGTCCTCCAGCCCGCCTGGGAAGTCCCCACGGCTTTAGCAGTCTCAGGGATGGTTCTAGTGTGTGCCGGGGGCTTCCTGACTCCCCTCAGGAGCCTGCTGGGCCACTCGGGAACAGGCTGCTGCCCCCCAGAGCAGTCCGCGGCCTCAAGGGACGGGAGTTGGAGGATAAGCATCTGCTTCTTCCCCACTGGATGTGCAACTCTGGGGACACTGTGCACATTCTCTCTGAGGGCGCCCGGGGCTGACATGTTCACAGGTGCTGGGACTCAAAGTGGAGTCTTGGGGAGGCCGTCACTCAGCCTTCCCCAAAGCGGTTCCAGGCGGAAGCGGCATATATACGGGCTTTGGGGTGGGTGTCTGCTTGGTGGATGGAGCTGCCCCGGGCAGGGAGGCAGCCGTGGTAGAAGAGGCTTCAGGAAGGTAGTCAGGGCAGGCCAGACCCCATAGGACCCTGTAGGCCCGGAGAAGGGCTTAGGATTTTATTTGAAGTGAGGTGGGAGCTATAGGAGGGTTTTGAGCAGTGGAGGGATGTGATCTGATCTCCGTTTAAAATGGTGGTTCTGATAACGTGGAGTCCCCCACAGGTAAGGGTGAGGGGAGCCCCCAGGTTGGGGCAGGGAGTAGCAGCCACTTTGCACGTGGCCAAGTGGACAATGAGAAACTTCTGCCACCCAGCGGGAGCCGTGGTGAGGCCTGCCCTTCCCTACTAAAAATAGAAAAATTAGCTAGGCATGGTGGCACTTGCCTGTAGTCGCAGCTACTTGGGAGGCTGAGGCAGGAGGATCGCTTGAGTCCAGGACTTTGAGGTTGCAGTGAGCTATGATGACACCACTGCACTCCAGCCCAGGAGACAGAGCGAGACTCTGTCTCTACATAAATAAATAAACGCATGTCAGCTGACTGAAGGAAGAAACGAATGGGCAATAATCCCAGGAGGTAGGTGTGATGATCCTCATTTTATAGGAATAAAACAGCAGCTCAGGGTGGTTGCAGTGGTTGTTCAGTGTCACAAGGCAGATAAGTGGCAGAGACTGGATCAGACCATCCCAAAGGACTCCTCTTTTTCATGGGAAGAAACCGAGGCCCAGAGAGGTGAATTCATTTGCTCATGGAAACAAAGTTAGTATATCAGTCATGGCTGCAAAACAGAGTATCCCCCACGTAGAGATTTGAAATAGTAAGCATTTATTACTGCTTACACGTGTACAAATTGGCTGGGTAATTCGGATGTTAGCTGGGACCATTCATGCTTCTCTGGTTAGCAGCCGGGGTTGCCTCTGCTGATCTTGGCTGGGGTCTCTCGCTTAGTTGGGAGTTGGCTCTCTTAGGCTGGACCGCATGTCGTCAGCTGGGGCAACCGGGTTCTCCTCTGTGTGGTCTCATTCTCCCGCAGGCTGACCCAGGCTTGTCCGCAAGGGGGTGGCAGGGGTCCAAGAAAGTGATCGAAGTTGCAAGGCCACCTGAGGCCCAGTCTCAGAACTAGCGCCTTATCACCAGGGACTGGGATGGGGAGGCCTCAGTCTGCCCTGTGACCTGAAGGTCAGGGTTTTGGAAGGCCCCCGGGCAAGGTTGAGTTGAACCAGATGTAGCGGTTAGCTACTGCTGTGTAAGAAACCATCCCAAACTCAGGGGCTTAAGACAACATTGATATATTTGTCTCTCCATTCTGTGGGTTGGTAACACAGGCTGGGCTTACTCACGCATCTGTGGCCGGCTCTGGGTATCTGGAGGACTCTGCCTCAGGGGGCTGGGTGGTGGCCGTTGGCTGGGGAGCCTCCGGGCTCTCTTCTTCCAGCAGGGTAGCCCAGGCATGTTTGTGAGGTCATGGCGAGGTCATCCAGACAGCAAATGGAAGCTGCAAGGGTTCTTGAAGCCCAGGCTTGGAACCAGGACAGCCTCCCTATCACCGTGTTCTACTGTCCCAAACAATGACAAAGTCAGCCCAGATTCGAGGGGTGGGGAAACAGACTCCATCTCCTGCTGGGAAGAGTGGCAAAGTCACATTGCAAAAATGTCAAGGAGCGCCCCTGTGTGCAACCCCATTACTGCAGGCAGACAGTAACAGCTGGGGCTCTAACCCAGGAGGCACCTGCCCCCATGCGGTCTACTCTTCTTAAGTTGTGTCAGTTCTGTTCCTTTTCTTAGCTTCCCCCACCCCCTCACGTCTTCCCTATTATCTGAGCCTCCCGATTGCCTTTGGTATCAGAACATTCGCTGCAAGTAACAGAAATCCAGGCGAAGAAGGAATTCATCGGCTCTTGGAAGTGAGAAGTCCAGGGGCAGGTACTGCTTCAGGCACAGTTAGGTCCAGGTGCCCATACAGTGTCCTCTAAGGTTGCCTTCCTCCGTGTCCCCACTCTACTTTTTCCTGCGTCGTCTTAATCCTCAAGCAGGTGCTTCCCAAGAGGAGAGGGGATGCCCCTCGTCAGCTGCAGGGTCCCATCACAGCAGCTCAGCGACCCGAATGGGAGGCGAGCACACCTCCTGTAACAAAAACAGCATCAGTGGCGGCAACAGCAACGGGGTGTTTACCGTGTGCCGGGCACCGGGCTCAGTAGGCAGCGAGCGCTGACTTATCTCATCCTTGCAACACCCTATGAGGCATAAATGATCACCACTCCCATTTTACAGATGAGGAAACTGAGGCACAGAAGGATTAAACCCTGGTCTAAGTTTACATTGGTTGTAAGTTGTGGGGCTGGGAACTGAACCCAACCAGGGCTCTAGAGTCCTTGCTCTTAACTCCCACCTCGTTCTAGCAGAAAAATAGTAATATTAATAACAGCAAACCCTGATTCAGAACGGGTACGCTGTGCCTGACAGTATTCTGAGTGTCAAGAAATCATCATCATCATCATCATCATCATCATTTAATCTTTCCAGCAACGCTATGAGGTAGGCATTGTCATTATCTCCATTTCACAGCTGGGGAAACTGAGGCACCGCAAGCATAGCTAAGCCTGACGTCACATACGGGGCAGCTGGGACTTGAACCCAGGCAGAGGGGTCTAGCGTCTGCATCTGCTGTCCCCAGGGTCCTGCTCCTGAGCGAGGGCTGAGGTCAGACTCGGGGAACCCAGGGCAGCCCGGCGCGCTCACTCGCCACAGGCCGGCCAGTCCGTCCTCTGCCCTCCACCTGCTGCCT